TTTTTTTTTTTTTTTTTTTTTTTTTTTGAGTATTGAACCCAGGGTCTTCATTGAACTACATCCCCCATTTTTTTTTAAGACAGTTCTCACTAAGTGTCTAAATTGCCCAGACGGGGCTTGAACTTGAGAACCTTTTGCCTCAGTCTTCTAAAGTGATGGGATTACAGGTGTTCACCACGGCTCCCTGCTCTAATAGATGCTTTGGAGTGGTCTCCAGAGATCCTTTCTTTGGAATCCTAACTGGCCCCAGCTAGGGAAGGTTTCAGGTGCTCCCTGGTGGGCGACTCTCCTCCTACTGCTTTTGGGGTAACTCCAGCCTCTAACTGGGCCAGAGCAGAACACTATGTCACAGAGGTGAGTTTCACCTCCCCTCTGCATCATGTCGAAGTTGTTCACCTCACTAAACATAAGTCAGGGCACTCTCTGCCTTAAAGCCCTCCTCTGGCTGCTCCCTAGGTCACTTAGGATAAAATCTAAATTTCTCTCCTCACCCCGGTTCCTTCCTTTGCAGCCGTACTGGCCTCCTCACTGTTTCTCAGGCTCGTGGAGTTCCTCCCCACCCTAGAGGCTGAGAACTCTTCCTCGGGCAACAACACTCCTTCGGGAACCTGCCCAACCCCCTTCCGCTCTCCCTTCCTCCACAGCAAGGTCTCTGACCTCCATGAAAACCACCTCGCTTCATGCCTCACTCGCTCCCTGCCTCGCTCGCTGGGGTTTTCTCCCAAGTACTTATCCCCACCCAGGTTGGCCCCTCATTTCCGTCAAGGGGGAGTCTTACTCCGCCTCTACTCTGTTCTCCACACTTGGGATGTTGGATTTCTCACGGCTGCAGGGTGTCACACACAGACCCAGCCTGCTGCCTCCTTCCGGCACCTGCTCTGCCCCTCTGTGCATCGCAGATGCTCCCGCACGCTTCCTCCCTCAGGCCCCTGGAATCCTCGTCCTCCCTGCCCCATGGGACTGCCCACTGCCACCAGCACTAAACACTATCCTCCACCCGTGGTCACCTTGTTGAGCTTTGCTTTGCTATCATTTAATTGCTAAAACAGTACTTGGATGTTTCTTCTTTCATTTTCCAAAACAATGAGATTATATTAAAATATCAAAGGTTGCTTTTGTGGTAGGGGGTACCAGTGACTGAACTCAGGACCGTGTGCTGGCGAGGCAGACGGCAGCACCACTGAGCCAAATCCCGGGCCCTCCAAATGTAACTTTTTAAACTATATTCTTTATCCCTGCTGGAGAGTCCAGCACCCTTCTCTGCCTACCCTGGACTGAGTGCGGTATCGCCAATAGTTCTCACCTGAATCTGTTTACAAAGCCCCTTGGGCCCATTCACTCCACCTATTTTCAATTTCCAGCAAAAACGAATGCGCATGAACAGCGATGGGCCAGGAAGTCCCTTGAGCAGATATATTCATGACAGCAACGATTTGTAGCAGAAGCTCAGTGCATACATTACTGAGTCTACTAAATAAAAAATGACGTACCCTAAATGCTGTTTAGACAGATGTGCATTATACTTATTGTACAATCGATCAAGCAGTCAATCAACACACCTCAGACCAAACTAATAGGACAAATCCAAACCAAGAGAGGTTGAACTTGGTCAAAACACTTCCACTCAAGATAGCCCAGGTGGCGCTCTGGTGACGTGTCTACCCTGAAGGATGTGGAGGTGGTGATGCCAACACCCTACCAGTCAGTGCCTGTGCCTGGTACATGAGCAGCTTTATGGACAACCTAGAGAGCTATGAGCCCTGACACAATGCTAGGTGAACCCCTAGCGGCACAGAGGATAGGGGCTTTGAAGGCCAGCTCTGCCATCTACTGGCGGATGAGGCCACTCGGTTTCCCCTCACTTCCGAGGTGGAGTTCTCATCTGCACAGAGGTTGTCGTGTTCTTTAATTCAGAAGGGCCCACAGGAAGACAGGCATACGAGGGCACTGTGAGCGCTTAGCACCCACCTGGATGCTTGTGGTTAGGGAGGCAGGGGTCCCTGTACAGTGCTTCCTTCCAACAGCGCTTGCTACATAGCAGCGCCCCACACGGTTAGATTTCAGAGTCACTGCTTTAGTGAGTGGAGAGGGGAGGTGGCCACAGGACCCTGGGAATTCCTGGGCCAAAAGCTGACCCCAGGATGCAGGCACAGTATTCCCAGAGGGGATTTGTATTTTCTTCCTGTGGATTTAGCTTTCTCGCCATTCAAGGTGTGACCTAGGTATCCCATATCGGTCCCTCTGGCACCAACGAGGAGGGACAGGTACTCACATTCCACTGACACATTGAAGGCAGTGGTCCTCTGGCCATACTGGTTCTCAGCCACACACAAGTACTCCCCGTCATCCTCAGGGGTGACTGCAGGCAGCTCCAGCTGCAGCTCGCTCTCGTAGATGACCGTGGCCAGGATCTGCTTCTCCTTGAAGATGGTGAGAATAGGGTCGGGTTTGCTCTGTGTAGAGCACAGGATGGAGACCGTCTCCCCCTCCATGGCTGTCATTGTTCCATTCACTGTCGGCTTCCAAGGTGCATCTGAGGGACAGGACAGGCGACTGCTGGTCAGAAACCGGGTGGTGTTGCTGCCTCCGCCAGCTCCCACCCCCAAATGTGACCCTTAACACCCCAAACCTTGCACACACATTCAGGATGGCTCAAGTGACCCCAGTTGTCTTCTCCCTATGAATACTTTATATGAATCTTTGGGTCTGGAGCTATGTACCCCTTCCTACTTGGGTGTAGACCCTTGTCTTGACCAGAGGGACTCAGTTTTCTCCTCTGGAAAAATGGGCTTAATGATAATTCTAATCTCATTCAGCGTTCACTAAGAATCTGCTGAGTAATAGGCACGGTTCTAGTTTAAAGAAGGGCCACGTAGGCAGATAATACACAAATGAATAAAATATATTTGCAATGTGGGGATAAGAACTGTGGAGAAAAACAAAGGGTTAGAAGGAGAAATCAGGGGAGATACAGTTTTAAACAGCATGGGAAGGCAGGCTTCTGGGAGACTAGAAGGAGGTGGGTGGGAATGTCCAGGGAAGGGCACACATATAAAGCCCTCAAGAAGGGCTGAGGAAACATCGGCTGTGGTTGTCATTATTATTCCCAGCTCTGGGCACTTTGCCTCAATAAGTATAAATGGATGGATGGATGGATGGGTGGATGCCTCTGCTTTGTTCCTGGCTAAGAGTTCGGTTCTGACAGTACCCCAACCTGTGCCCTGAGGTTCCCTTTATTCTCCTTTCAGAATGACAACTGAGTGTGGTTGTACAAGCCTAGAATCCCAGCAGCCTAGGGGGCTGAGGCAGGAGGACCAGCAAATTTGAGTCCAGCCTCGGCAACACAGTAACTTAGAAAAGAGACTGAGGATGTAGCTCATGTGAAGACCTTGGGTTCAATCACCCGTATTGGTGGGGGAAAGGGGGCTGACCTTTTTTTTTTTTTATTTCTGGCACTGGGGATCAAATCCAGAGGCATTCTACTACGGAGCTACTGAGCAACATTCCCAGCCCTTTTTATTACTTTTTTAAATTTCAAGACAAGCTCTTGTTGAATTTCCCAAGATGCCCTCAAACTTGTGATTCTCTTGCTGCAGTCTCCTGAACACCTTGCCTAGCACAACTGGGCTCCTTTTAAAATGTAGATTCTTGGGGTGGGGTAACTAACTCAATGGTAAAGTTTGAGGTTTCCATCCCTAGCATCAGGGAAAAAAAGAAAAAGGAAGGGAAAAGGAAGAAAGAGGGGAGAGGGGAGACGGGAGAAGGAAGAAAGGAAGACAGATTTCTGGGGCCAGGGCCAAATCTACTCTCAGACCAGCTAGGGCGGAACCTGCATTGAATAGGCTTTCGTAAGCCGGGAGGACCAATTGTGTCCTCTAGTGCAGAATAAGTGTGCCCCAGATACCTGGGGCAGCAATGAAGAAACCTTGACAGGCACCTTCCTCTCTATCTTGTCCCCCGTGGTGCTTATGGAAGGTTCCCTTTCCCTTTATCTGTCCTGCAGAGATGTGTGGCACACGGGGGGTGGGGGACGACTCACACATGACGCTGAGCTCCACGGTGCGGTTCTCCTGGCCATAGGAGTTCTCCGCCAGGCAGGCGTAGACGCCGTCCTCCGCGGGGGTCACCTCTTCCAGCTCCAGGTACAGGCTCTCGGCCACCGCCTCCCGAAGCACCGTCCCTTCCCGCATCCAGGTGAGCAGCGGCAGCGGGTTGCTGTCAGCCACACAGACCAAGCTGACGTGGGTGCCCTCGATGGCTTCCACCGAAGAGTTCATCTCCACAATCACCGGGGGGTCTGAGGACATGACAAGGGTCAGTGGACCTGCCATGCGGCAGGCCGGCCCCGCCCCGCTCATCCAGACTCCACCCCTGATTCG